AGACAGACAGACAGACAGACAGACAGACAGACAGACAGACAGACAGACAGACAGATTGTGAGAGCTTTATCTTCATAACAAATCAACCTCAGACTCTCTCACCTCATACAGGGGCAGCTGGTTGGTAGGTAGGACTTGCTGGGTATGAAGGATTTCTCCGACTTGGTAGGCAGTTCGTCTGCCTCCGTGTAGGCCTCGTCCAGCTCATCATACTTGACCAGGCTCTTCTCGTCTGTCTGCTTGTGGACGAGTCTGGGGAGGAGTCAAATAGAGAGAAGGTTAAATAATTGTCATGATTCTTCGTTGCTATCATTAATCTTATTATTGCCAGGATCTGGACAATAAAGATATATTTTATCGAATCTTATCTTATCATATCTTATCTTACTGGTGTCGGTTTTTTTAGGATGATTCAGGAAAAGAGTCAAATAGAAAGAAGGTAAAAGGTCATGATTCTTCGTTGCTTTCATTAATCTTAGTATTGCCAGGATTTGGACAATAAAGATATATTTTATCTAAACTTATCTTATCGTATTGGTGTCGGTCTGTTTGTGGACGCGTCTGGAAAGGAGTCAAATAGAGAGACGGATAAAGGTCATGATTCGTCGTCATTATAATTAATTTTATTAATGGTCTTGTGTTTCCGGAATTGCAATCCTGGCTATAGACAACGAAAGATATTATCAGGCTGGGTAGTGTTTGAGCGTGTGCAATCTGCTGCGTGCATTAATATACTTTCCGGGAAGCCCAGAACGTTTCTGAGTTTTCTAGGGTTTGCAGGAGTAAAAGTAGTAATAAAGCGCCAAGTGCAAGCTGTTGAACCTGGATATGCACCATATACATGGAATCGTAATCAACATCATCATTATCGTTATCATTATCGACGACATCATCATCATCATCATCATCAGCAGCAGCAGCAGCAGCAGCAGCAGCAGCAGCAGTTTCAATAAATGTTTTGTGGTCCTTGCAAATCAAATTAGGTCATGTAATTGCCGAATATTAGAGTCGTGACAAAAGAGAGGTTCTCGTTTTTTGTTTTTGCTTTTTTAAATGTAATTTTAAGAAACACATGGACATGATAACAGTTATTTAGTGCACGGAAAATCAAGACAGACAGAAAGGGAAACAGCAACAAACAAACAAACAAACAAACAAAGACAGAAACGAATCAGGACCTATCAAAGGCACCCCCAACCTCCTGGTATCAAGAGAGTATCATACAAACAAAGGGAAGAGAAATAGGGAAGAAAGACGATTGTGCGGAAAGAAAAAAACAAATCTACACCAGAGTATCAACCAACCACCGACTACTGAAAGGGTTTTGGGTAGCACCCATTTGCACCCC